ACTATTTTTAAAATTTAAAGAAATAAAAAAAATATACAAAATATGTGAAAAATAGTAAAATCAAAATAAAAAATAAGATGAGGTCACCAATATTTTTCAAGATGTCATTGGATCCTTCCATAATTTTTTCAGAATTTAAAAATCTAGAAATGTATTTTTAAACAATTAAAACAAGTCAAATAAAGTGAAAAATCATAAAAATACCAAATCTCAAAATAAAAATCAGAAAGAGAAAAATTAAAAGTATTTTTGATGATTTTTTCAGAATTTTAGAAGTAGAAATGAATTTTTTAATGAATTTTTGAAGTTTAAAACAATTAAATCAAAAATAAAAAAATAAAAATTATATCAAAAATAATGTCATGCATTGGATTCAGCTCACTTATACACGCTGGCGAATCCAAGGGTGGTGAAGCTAGGACGTATGATGTTTATCATTGAAACACACGCAGGCAACACAAAAAAATCCAACCAATCAAATTAAAATGTTTGGCTGTGTATCATTGGTTGAAGAACGACACGTAGGTCATGTTCAACCTCCACCCTCCTGCAACTAGGGAAAAACACATATCCTTAAATATGTAAATGTATGCGTTCATAGTGGTACCATTAGATGTATCTACTTGAGATTATCACGACCATATGCTCCAAAAAATTTATTTAAAGTGTAGCACAATCGATTTGGAAAATTCAGAAGTTTTTGAAGAATTTGAATTTGCAAACAGATGCATCAAATGCATCAATTAATTAAAATTAAACCATCAACAAGCATCAATGAACATTATAGATCATTCTAATAATTTGAGTTAGAATAATTGATGCCTTAAACTACCTGAACGAAGTATGAAGAAATTGCTCTGAAACTTGACTTGGCTTGAGCAATTTTGAGCACCTCAAGACTTAATTCTTCTTTTGTTAGCTTCAGTGAAGTTCAATGTAGAAGAATGAATAAAGAAATTGGATTTGGAAGGGAGGAAATTATGATTTCAAGATTTTAGAAATGTGAGTTATGGAGAGAGTTTGACAGAGTGATTCTAGCTGTCCAAGCTTGCTAAAATGAGTGAGGGATGATCCTTATTTATAGCTGAGCATGATGGAAACAAAAAGTGAGAGAAATGATCAAGTATTAAGGGAATTCGTTTGCACCTGCATCATGAGTAAAGTATGAGTTGCAAGTTGTCAAAACTCAATCATTCCTTGCGTTTTGATGTGCTAAACCTTTCGGGAAGCTTAGTTAATCATGTTTAAACATCAAATACACGACAAATTTGTGTTTAGATGCCACACTAATCAATTTGCAATCTGATTGTTTTGAAAAAAAAGTCCTTTTCATGGTACCAACTTTGAATCCATGTTGCGCACAACTCAAGAGACTTTATCACATGATTCTTGAAGCATTTAAAAGACAAGGTCATAATCTTTACAATGTGCCAAGAAAGACTCCATTTGGATAATTGAGCTGGAAGTTATGTCTTCTTGAAATCGTGAATAACAAACTATTTATGTACTTAGAAATATTTCTAAGCATGCGACCAAAAAATAACGTATAATGTTCTTCAAAATTACATGACCTTCCACTAACAATTTGATCTTGATATCTGTATATGAGATGAAGTAGACCTCTTGAATTGAATTGTGAAATTGAGATCACTCAAAAATCATAAAAATTGAAAGAGTAATGGTCTTTGGAAGATGATGTACAAATTTGAGAAAATTCACAAAAGACCTATAATCTTTTCAATTCTTAAACAACTTTCAAAGTATTTTCAAGTCTTGCACATTGAAACAATGTTATAGTATACATACCAAATTTTTTTATGGAAAAATAATGGGCTCAAGGAGATAAAAATTGACCAAGTAATGATCATTTGAAGTCAAACCCTAAGATTCAAAGGCTTTTCAAAGAGACTTGTTATCTTTCTCAACCATTAGAGATCTTCCATTTAAAATTTGTCATAGATCCCTGAAGAGAACTTGTTAAGGACTATTTAATAAGAATCATGGCTTTGGATTCAATCAAAAATCTCAAAAAATGAGCAACATATGGTCCTTGGAAGTCGACACCCCCTAGATCTGAGAGTGTCAAAAGGACTTGAAGTCCATTTCAACTTTGTATGATTTTTATTGCACAATTTTATCTTATCATATAAAGAGAGGTTGTTGTAGATGATGATAAGAATCTATAGCAAAAAGAACCAACTCAAAATATTGAAAATTGAGAGAGTTATGCACACGTGATCACTGATTCAAGCATTTTCTCAATTAGGTCAAACTTGTTGAACCAACCTTAAATATTTTGAACTTTCTTGGCAAAAGAAAGCATGATGAATCACGATAGGCCTTGAGATGATGTTGTATTAAATAACACTCAAAGATGGATCTTAAGTCTCAATGAAACTTGTTTAACAAGGCATGGAAATAAACACATGAACCTATGAATCTTCTTGATGAATTCCACCACCAACTTTGAGGAAAGTTTGACCTAAATAAAGTAAGTGAACTCTTTGAACCACAAATATTTGATATCATAGACATAGCCTTGAAGCTTGAGCTATTGAAATCCATTGAAGAACCATTTGACAGAGGACCACCCCTTAAACCCTAGGTTAGATGGTGAGATGAATGCAATTATGTCATCACCTACAATATGAACATTCAAAGAAACATATATACATATCTTGATGATAGTTAAAAGAACACATGTACAAGATACACAATTCAAGGTACTTGGTGATCCCTCAAAAGCAAACTTAAAGATAGGATGAAATAGAAAGGGAGAACCAACCATAATGTGTGATCTTGATGTATTGATAATACGAGATGATGAGGGATCTTAGGGGAAAAAATTGGGGTATAACAATTAGTCGAGCAAGTATTGTAACAAGATAACACTTTAATCAAGTTCTTGGGAGCAAAATCCTAGTTAGGAGGTAATGAATGATTCTTACTTTAGGTTTTATAAGGTATGTATTGAGTGGAAATTTATTTTCCTTCATGGGATTTGTTAGTAGAAAATTAAGGCCTACACTTAGTTTGAAGTTTTTAAGTCTTGCGGGTTTGTCTGGTTTGTAGGAGGCTCCTAGGAAGGGTATTTTAAAGATTCTTCCAAACCGTTCTTTTTGAATTATTATTTTCATGCCCTTAATTGATGATATTAGGGTTTTTCCAACAATGATTAGGTTGGTGTAGAATTCCCTCACTTTTGTGAAAATTAACTTTCAAACCCGACATAGCTTCAAACAATACAAAAATGCACACAAGGCTCTTACATTAGACCAACTCTTAACCCCTATAAGCGAGGTGTCATCTACAAACTGAAGATCATAAATAACTTTTGTAACCTCACCATCTATAGTGTAACTCGTAAAAAGATTGGAATTAACCATCATAACCATTAACACATGCAACCCTTCCGCCGCCATAAGGAAAATATAGGGAGATATTGGGTCACCTTGGCGCAATCCCCTTTCAAACCAGAACTCCTCTGTAGGACTACCATTAACTAACACGGACGCTGATGCCGACCCAATGCACTCTTTCATCCACTTGCTCCACAAAGTCGAAAAAGACATTCTCCCCATAATAACATTCAAGTAACCCTAATCCACAAAATTGTATGCCTTTTCAAAATCTACTTTGAATAACATCAACTGTTTTTTTTTACATTTGCGGGCCCTGTCCAGCACCTCATTAGCAACCAAGATACCATCGAGGATTTGCCTATCCTTGACAAAAGCAGACTGACACTCTGAGATGATATTTCCTATCACCAAATGCAAACGATTAACCAACAACTTTGTCAGAATTTTATATAAACAACCCACACGAGATATAGGACGAAATTCATTCAACCTTTTATGACTCACAACCTTGGGTATGAGAGGGATTAAATTACTATTAATACCCTTCGATAAACGATCATTCTTGTGAAAATATGAAATAAATCAAATAATATCCTGCTTTACGTCAAGTCAAAAATCTTTGATGAAACTCATATAGATATCATTCGACCCCAGAGTTTTGAAACTATCACAACTCGAGATTGCTGCTCTGACCTCCTCGTCAATAAAAGGCCTTAAATCGTGTAATAGTTTAATTTGTGTTCTCCTTCTTGAGTTAAGTTTTATATCACATTTCTTTACAAATTGTGTAATCTAATTTTTTGGTGTTGATATTCCAAAAGATCAATTTAAGACTACAATTAGATTCTTTTACAGAATATAAGAGTTTTATTTATGCAAACATATAAGTTCTTATATGTTAACTTTTAAACTCATTACTCTATTTTGTATGTTTACATTTTACTCTTGCCTTTTTGTTTTGATAGGTTTATTTATTTATTTACTTACTTGTTTTCTCTTACCTTATATTTGTTAAAGATCAGTTTGTTTGTTTATATTTATTCTATTAGATATTCTTTGTTGACTATATTATTGCACCTTATTTTTTTTATATATTTTATGTAAATTTATAATCAAATTAATTAAAAATTTTATTTTTAAATACTTTTAAGAGAATTGTGATCTTACAAAAATAATATTATAATTTTTATTTCATATATTATCCAATATTCAATTACTTAACATCAAATTATTTTTAAATTTTTTCATAATATCTTTACATAAAAAAATAAACTATCGTACATTAATTTATTTAAAATAATTTTTATATATAAACCCGTGTATCGCATGGACATAAAACTGTATATATATATATATACTATATATTAACATCTTCCAACCATTCACATAAATGAATTATAAAATATTAATAAAATCTTTTTGGTGAGATTACCGGTGAAGGTTCTATTCACATACTTCTCTGTTAAGAGAATACGGTAACACGTAACGTGCTATGTAAGTTTGTTTTCACATACCTTATCTAGTTTTCATTTATTTATTTAAGAAGACTACACTTTTTCTTTTTCTATATCAATATAAATAGTGACGGAGATGAACAAAGAGAGGCACACCAAAATAGCAAAAAAAAATTATTATACCATGACAACAATGCGGAAATCATCTTTTCTCTTGACAGCCTTAACAATTCTCATGTCTATTTCAACTGCAATATCATCACATTCACCCCTTCAGAATTTCCTCACTTGTTTTTCTCATAATTCTCATGCTTCTAAAGTTATCTACACACCAAACAATACCTCATTTTTAACCATCCTAAACAAGAAAATGTATAACAAGAAATTTCAAACACCAACAACACCAAAACCTTTGGCAATTATAGCTGCAAAAGATGCTTCTCATGTCCAAGCAACTATTAAATGTGCCAAAAGTAACAATATCCAAATCAGAATCCGAAGTGGAGGCCATGACTATGAAGGTTATTCATATGTATCAGACGTGTCTTTTGTTATAATCGACATGTTTAATATCAATTCAGTTGATATTAATTTACAAGAAGAAACAGCATGGGTTGATTCTGGTGCAACACTTGGTAAGGTTTATTATAACATTGCAAAGAAAAGTAGTACTCTTGCTTTCCCATCTGGGATCTGTTTTTCTGTAGGTGCTGGTGGCCATTTTTCTGGTGGTGGGTATGGAAATATGATGAGAAAATATGGTCTTTCTGTTGATAATATCATTGATGCAATCATAGTTGATGCCAATAGTAACATCCTTGATAGAAAATCAATGGGGGAAGATCTCTTTTGGGCTATAAGAGGTGGTGGTGGTGCTAGTTTTGGTGTTATTCTTTCATGGAAACTCAAATTGGTTCAAGTACCCTCACAACTTACTGTTTTCAATGTGAAAAGGTATGCGGAAGAAGGTGCAATTGATGTTGCTTACAAATGGCAATTAGTTGCACCAAAATTACATAAAGATCTTTTCATTACCTTGCAAACTAATATTGTTCAAATTGGTAATAGGAGTAAAAAAGTAGTGCAACTTAATTTCATTGGTCAATTTTTGGGAACAACAGAAAGGCTTTTATCCTTGATAAAGGAAAGTTTTCCCGAATTAAATTTGAAAAATAGTGATTGTTTTTCAATGCCTTGGATTAATACCACTCTTTTTTGGTACGATAAACCATTTGGTACTCCTCTTGAAGAAGTGTTGGTGGAAGGACCTCCATCAATTTATTTCAAAAGTAAATCAGATTATGTGAAGAACCCTATTCCAAAGGTAGTTATAGAATCTTTATGGAAAAAAATGATTGAAGGTGAGACTATGTATATGGATTGGAATCCTTATGGTGGAAGAATGAAAGAAATATTGCCATCACAAACTCCATTTCCACACAGAGCTGGAAATTTATTCAAGATTCAATATTTTAATAGATGGATTGATGGATCTCCTGAATCTATTGGACGTCATGTGAACTTTTCAAGGCTGATTCAAAAATTCATGACACCCTATGTTTCAAGTTCTCCAAGAGAGGCATTTCTTAACTATAGGGATGCTGATATTGGTGCCAATATTCCAAGTAATATAACGAAATTTGACATTGCTAGAACTTATGGAAGGAGTTATTTCAAAGCAAATTTTGAAAGATTAGTGAGTGTGAAAACTAAGGTTGATCCCGATGATTTTTTCAGATACGAACAAAGTATACCTACAAAGACATATTAAAGTGGTAAAATAGCGTGTTGTATGAAAAGGTGAAAAAATATAATGTATGAAAATAAATAAATCCTAAGAAATAAATTGCAAAATAAAAATTCTTTTCATATACCTATTTTTCTTCTCCCATTTTAGCCTTGTAAGCCAATCAAAATTATTACATTTATGGGTGGCAATTGGGCGTCCATCGTTTAGGTCCATCATGCAAAAGCTCGAAAAAAAGTGGAACAGAGTGAGGCGGATATATTTAAGGGGTGCAACTCTAAAACCTAACTCCATCCTACAAGAAAATAAAGGTGGGATGGAAAATGTTAGCGGACTTTGCCCCTTTTAAACCTAAATTTATAAAATTATATGTATATGACCGTGTCCACAAAATCCTACAAAAAAAATGGATGGGACAGAACAATCATATTACAGAGATTACAAACTTAAAATTTTGGTATATCCTGCGAAAAAATGCAAACAAAACAGGTATGTTCAATTAGCCGACCCGTTTTACTATCCCTAATTACATTTATTTTAATTTTTTTTTAATATTTCTTTGTTTCAATTATTTTAAGCAAAATTTATAATCAAACTAAATTTCTTAGTTTATAACGAATATCTATTTTTTTAGTTCAAACACTTGCAATACAACAAATATTATATTTTCTATTAAAAGTTTATCTCAATAAATCCAACAATTAAGGTGAGAATCACTTCCATTAAACGCCTTAATTTCGATTTGGAGCAACTACAATTTCATATTTTATTTGTAATTATAATGATACATTCTTTTTTTAATATAAAAAATAAATAATCTTTACCATTACTTACTGGAAAAATGAGGAAAAAGACTACCTTAAATTTAAATATAAACCATCGTGTTCTCACTCTTTTTTTAAAATCAACTCATTTCCCCGCCTCCAAACTTCAGACAAACCAAACTCTATTTTATGTTCTTATTGTTATAGTTAATTTCGTTGTTGTTTATGTTGTTGTTACTGATATTGTTTATGTTGTTGAGGTAGTATTGTTGTAGTTGTTTATTTTTAGGAATAATTTTTCAATATTGTCATCACGAAAAACATTCAATGATTTATGGCTTGTCTTGGTTGAAAAGATTGAAAAACCTATTTCTAATAATTTTTAGAAGATAATACATCTCAAAAATAAAATGGTCAATAATAATAAGTTGTATCTAATATTTCTCACCGTTCACCAATTTTTGTCTACAATAGGAGCTATTTATTTCCTTGGTTGTGATGAAAACCAAGGGAAAGAGTACCTAAAGGACACACTTGGATTCCCATTTAAAGCTGAGAAAATAAATGAAAGGGGGTTTAATTGTTTTAGCTTTTTCTTTTCTTTTTTCAAAAATCATTTATCAGATTCTGAATACAAGGTCTAGAATCTAATTCAGAGTTAAGTGTATTTTAGCGGATAAATAGTTAAGAGGTATAGAAAGAGAGAAAGAAATATATCTAACTATTACCCAGTCACCTTGCATTTCCAAGAGATTTCACTATAATCACTCATGACTACAGTTACTCAAGCACACAAGTAAGATACTTCAAATTCTCAAGCTCAAAAACAGTAGACTTCTAACAATCTAACTTATAGACAATAGATTTTTTAAATATTACATATGATATACAATCAGAGATATAAACAAAATATAACACATAAAGATTCTGAAGTTTTAAGAATTTCTAGAATATGTAAGAGTTAATAAATTCTAAGTTAAACTTGTGTTTTTGATTTGACAGAGTAATCACTCTTTTATTGTCAAGCTTCGTTGTTGGCTTTCTTCAAGTCCTAAGTTCCTTCTATAGGGAAATAGAAAAGAGTCGTTGAAGAAAGGCTTGCACAAACGAGTCTTGGAGAAGCTTGATCAAAGACGTTAGTGTTATACCCTAATATCCCCCCCTAAGATTCTATGTCATCTCACAACATCACAATGCATCCAGATCTTGCATAACATATCATTGATTCCATGGTTAAGGGATCCAAGCATTTATCCGTGGCAAGCTACAAAAACAAGTGTTCTGTCAAGCAATATAGTAAAGCAGAAACTCAAGGTTTTTGGGATTCAAGTACTCTATGTGTATTTTTTTGAGTTGCTTGATCAATGATTCATCAAGTCATTATCATTCCAAGCTCTCACGTGTTCCATCATGCTTCAAATTGCAAAGAAAATTAAGCTATTCAGTTGATTCGGGAAAGTTTGAACAGAAAATCAGTATTTCACAGTGCAACTTCAAATATTCATAACTTGAGACCTAAAAATGATCTAGTAATGGTTTTTTAGACATTATAACTATCTTGAGATCTTATCCAATTCATCTATACATATCGAAGGCTAATTTTGTAAGGAATATCTTCAAAAGCGCAAAATGCCTGAAATCACGTTATATAGTGGATTTGTTGGTTCCCTAGTTTTCGGACATTTAAAAATTCACAACTTCTGACCGGAAATTAATTTGTGAGTGGATCTTCAGGAATCTGGACTGTCCCAATATCTTCTTTGTTTCTTTTGATCTAGTCGGAAGCTGATTTGATAAAAGCGATCTCTGGATTTGCAAATAATCTGATATTGGTACCTTGAAACAACGTGTTGATCCACTATTTACCGGATGTTCAAAAATTCATAACTTTCACCCAGTTCGATTTTTTTGAATGGTTCTTTGGGCATAAAATCCATCTTGATATTGTCCTCATTTCTCGTGTTCGGGTCAAAAGTTAATTCCGCATAGAAGATCTCTGAAAGTGCGAATTACTTGGGAAAATTGCAAAAATCGTAAATTTCCACGTAGAAGTTCGTGTTTGGTTTTCTCCGCGTAGATCTCTGCGTAGAAGTTCGTGTTTGGTTTTCTACCAGATTGTTTCTAGATATTGCAAAAATCGTAAATTTCCTGATTTTTACTAGTTTAAGACGATTTTAGAAGCATGAGATCACAAATTTCTTTAGCTACAACTTTACTTCAGGTCCCGAGTTCGGATTGTGCTCTAAAGGTGTCGTTTTATGGCTCACTTCCTAAAGTGTGCATGGAAATAAGTTGAAAAAAGCAGTGCAATTTTCTGTCCAATTTTCTTGCTATTCAAAAAACGTAACTCACTCGATTATTATTGTTTCACGATGATTCTTTCGGCACTATGTCACAAATTTCTTCATCGACGATTTTGTTCCAGGTTTTGCATCAGGATTATGCATCAAAAGTGATGACCTTGTGGGTTTTTCTCGGACTATAATAAAAAAAGCTGGAAAAATCTACACAGAATTTTCTGCAAGTTTCTCGTCGTTACGAAATTCATAACTCACTCAATTTTCATCGTATTGGGGAGATTCTTTTGGCATTGCGTCAAAAATTTCGTCATCAACAGTTTTGTTTCAGGTTTCGCGTCAGGATTATGTTGCGAAGGTCATGAGGTTATGGTTTGATCTCGAGCTGTACATGAAATAAGTCAAAAATTTTGCATTTATTCAAAAATTCACTTTCCAAAGAAGACTTAAGGGCTTGCCTATATATTCTTGAGATTCAAATAATAATCACTTTTGCATTCACTATTAAAAAAATCACTCTCAAGAACTCTATTCTCTCTCAATTTTCTCTCAAGAATTGCTCAAGAACACAACAATTTCTCAAGATCTCTCCTCCTATCACTCAATTGAATGCTGTTTCAACTGGTTTAAAATACAAAGTCGCCACCCTTAATTTTTATCCTAAGGAAGGAAATATAAAGGAATAACCCTACAAAGTTAGAGATTCTAGGTTTGGACTCGGTATTAGGCACCTATCATCTATCTTGTTCACAAGGATACTAGGTTTAGAAGTACAATTTTAGAAAACATGGTTTTAATGTTTTATTAGGGGAAAAGGGGTTTAATTTTAATCAAGGGGAACTCGCCACAATTTTAATCGTATGTCTACGAATCCTCTTCGGAGGAATTAGAGTTTCATTTTGTAGTTCGTGGTTGGGTTGTGTTTTTTATGGATTATGGAGATGTTGGGAATATCTCGAATTCTCCTTGAACCAATTTCGGGTTTATAAATTATGGAATCATGTACGTAGCTCACAGTCGATAAAATATATTTATACAACCCTTTTTGAAAATGATATAAGTTTGATTATATTAGTAAAAGAGGTTAGTATTTTTTGGTTAGCTATTTTCGATTATATGATACAATATGAAAATAAATTTGAATAATAAAATGTTTAATATAGATATAAAAGGGGGTTAGTATTTTAGAAAATAGGTTAGTTAGAAAAAAAATATATAAATAAGTTTATTAAAAATATATTATAAACTTTTGATAAAAAATATTATAATCAATAAAAAATAATTTTTATGTAATATATTATAAATAAAAATATAACAATAAAAATAATAAATAAATAAAATTAATTAAAAATAAACGTAGGGGGGTGCCAATTACATTGGCTTGCAAAACATGGGGGTGTGAACAACATGGACTAAAATCCAGATATTGAATTTGGCCCAGCAGCGCAGGTGGGGTGTAAATTACTTTTGAGTAATAAAATAAGAAGAGAGAGGGTTGCGAATTGTATGGGCTTAGGCCCAGGAATTGTTTTGAGAAGCCCAAGAGATTAAGGTGTGTTTGGCAACATGCACGAGGGTGTACGCGTTTTAGTGGGGATGCGCGATTTGGACCATTTGATAGTGATCATATGGATACGATTAAGAGAGCATGGTAATGTGCATGGGGTGCCCAACATTAGATCACAGAACTAAATATATTTTATGTTTACACAATAATCAATTCTTTTTCTTTTTTACTCTCTCTCTCTCTCTCTCTCTCTCTCTCTCTCTCTCTCTCTCTCTCTCTCTCTCTCTCTCTCTTCACGTCTCCTTCTCTCTTTTCTTCTCCTTTTTCTTTTCAAACAACGCCGGAACCCTAAAGTAAAACAACCCACATCGCCGTTGTGCCTCAAACTTAAAACGGCGGCGATTATACCTTATTTCACCAAATCACACCCTAATACCTTCAATCTACCCCAACATC